AAAAAAAAAAAAAAACAACTTAAAATAACTTGAGTGAAATGAAGACCAAACTATGGTTGCAGGGCAGGGAGAGATGGTTAACTTCCAATTCTGTTGTATTAAATGTGCAATGCTTTTATAATGTTCAGGATCTAACTTAGGTAAGGATAAACATGAATTCCAGTTAATGGTAAGATTTACAGTGTTGCCATAGACAGTGGACTGTTAAAGTATTGCAAAGGTAAAGGTCAGAATGAATTAAGGATTGGGTATATTTTCCACATGAATATTAAATTCATACAAGATAATATAAGGAAATAAAGGTGAAATAATAAAAGGGCAGAATATATGATTAAAAAAAAAAAAACTAAAAAAGCAGTTGCAGGAAACTGCCAAAGAAACAGTACCCTCAGAGTCAAGTTATGCATTGAAAGGAGAGAGAATGGGGTCATATTTCACATATACAATGGATGATGTGTGAAGTATTTTTCATGGAACAAGTAATCCAAAATTACAGTAAAAGTGAGGAGTAATAGAGAATTTTAGCGGTAGTTAGTTAAAACAAAAAAACAAAAAACAACAAAAAAGGTAGAATGAGATGAGAGTATAAAACAAAAAATAAGCTTAGAAATTTTATTGTCATAAATGGAAGCACAGAAATCCATTTTCTGATTTTGATCACTATTTAGCCTAAATTCAATATAATAACTGTTCTGCCTTGCAAATCTAATTTTGCAGACATTGATTTTTCGGTCTCAGCGGACATTCTGCAATAGCCTAACATTACAACAGTTTAATGTCGTATCAAAAGGGTATCTCTGAGTTTCTATTCTTATGGTTTTTTGTGATAAATTTTGCTGAGCTTTTAAATGACAGATATCTCATAGTTTTATTTTATATGCATACCTAGCTTTCAGCATAGCACATAGACTTGGGTAAAAATGAGCTCAGCACAGTCCTTGGAAAGGATTAAGTTCTCAGTGTCTCCTGAGTTAAGAGGTTTCTTTTTGCACAAGCATCTGAATCTATAGGGAACAGGTGTGAATATTGCAGAAATTTTGGAGACTATATATATATATATATATATCACAAATACACAAGTGAATATCCAGATACACATTCCATTTCCTTGAGGAAAGGATATTACTTAGTTTATTCACCTCTGATTCCTTAGCTACTAAACAGTGTGCCAGGCACAAAGTAAAAATTTATTAGCATTTACTAAATTCATAAATCAATGAAAAATGAAAAGAAAATGTTATGTTTGGAAACACAAAAAAGTTCCAAAACATTCAGAAACTCAGAAAATTCAGAAAATGCAGAATAATCGACAATTCAGTGTTCTTATTTAAATAAATATATTTACTAAATAAATAAAGATGTTAAATGTTATTTAAACAGATGTTAGATGTTAAACCACTCCCAATAACAAAAGTATTAGGAAACTTTCAAAAATGTACCAGGTAGTTAAATGGAAGGATTGAATTTAAAACTCATTTATAAATTTTAATTTAGCTATTTCAGACGTGTGCTCAGATAAAATTCATGTGAAACATGTACTGTTGTTTTCTAATCTATATTCGTTCCTTTAAAAAATAGTATGTGCTTAACACTGAAATAATGAATTTATAGGTATTAACTTATTTTATTCTTATAACAAATACATGGGTAAAATCAGACCCAAAATTTACAAAAATTAGTCTCTTATAAAATATATAGTATCATATATATGCCCTACTAAAAATTAATGGTGAAAAATGTATTAAGACTGTTTAAAATATATTTTAAAAGTCTGCTGGATTAATCCTTTATTAAGTTAAAATTCAGTATTATAACATTTCAGATAGAATCTGAATTCTGACTAAAAACACATTAATTTTTCTGAACAGATTAACATTTGGCTACTCACCTTTCCTTTTCTTCTACCAGCATGCGTCAATTCTGCTTTCTTAATACTTCACAGTTAATTCCCTTCCCTCCATCCCACTCCTGTAACTTAATTTTGGCCCATATCATCACTCATTTTGATTACTGTAAGGCCCTCCTAGCAGATCCTGGTACTTTCCTCTCAGTAAAATGTATTCCATAGTGATCTCTTTAAAATGCAAAGCTGATTAGAACATGTTCTAACATAAATTTTTCAATGAATTCTAATTGCTTTCAACATTAAATCAAAATTCTTTGGCATGGCACACAAATGTATTATTAGTTGGACCTCTGTTTATCTTTCCAATCTATACTTTATTTTTTTCTCATTCTTCTCCATTCTTAGTTAACCTGAACTATATTTAATGTACAAAATGTACCCAGTTCCTTCATTTTCTATGCATTTTCACAGGACATTCCCTCTTACATAGAATGCCCCCTCTCTCCAGTTCCCCATCTTTGTTTCCAACTCATCAAATGCCTTTTCATCCGAGTAGCTTCCTTGACTCATCACTCCTAAGCCCCCAGCCCTAACCCCCAAATAGCCATGATATATATCTCTATAGTAAGAAATACCAAACACTACTCTTACTGCTGGTTATTATTTTTAGCACTAAAATATGGACTCCTTTTGGGCATGGAATCTTTCTTTCTTTTCTTTTTCTTTCTTTCTCTTTCTTTCTTCCTTCCTTCCTTCCTTCCTTCCTTCCTTCCAGAGAGAGCACAAGCATGGTGGGGGAAGGGCAAAGGGAGAAGGAGAGAAAGAATTTTTTTTTTTTTTAAGATTTTATTCATCTATTTGAGAGAGAGAGAGATCATGAGCAGGGGGAAGGAGTACAGGGAGAAGCAGACTCCCCACTGAGCAGGGAGCTCAATATGGGACTCCATCCCAGGACTCTGGGATCATGACCTGAGCCGAAGGCAGAGGCTCAACCAACTGAGTCACCCAGGTGCCCACAGGAAGAATCTTCAGCAGGGTCCAGGCCCAGTGCGGAGCCCCTGCAGGGCTTGATCTCAGGACCCTGAGCCAAAATCAAGTCCATGTTTAACCAACTGAGCCACCCAGGTGCCCTTTCTTTTTATATCTTTATTCCCAGTGACTTGTATGTGCCAGGCACAGAGTACATACTTGATAATTGAGTGAAGAATAAATGAAGACAGGGTAACATGGGTACAAATGGCTTTCCAGTCATCTTAAATTATCTTTTGTATCAGTACATTTCCTGTGGTCCTTTGCAATATTATACAAATTAGTTTCTGAGTGTGCAATTACAAGCACAATAGCTATCCCAAATAGAGTTACTTTTTATTGGAACATTAAAGATTACTGCTTTGCAGAATAGAATTTTGGGTAATTTGGCAGTCTACAGAGATTGCCAGTTGTGGATGATTCTAGTTCCTGCTGAAATCGGCACTCCTTTGATAACCTCGCTTTCTGAAGTTATTACTAGGCTCATCAGGTTTCATATACAGCACCTAAACCGATGTAATATTACCATGAAAATCTGCCATGTGTGGGTTCCTGGGCTGATTGTCATTTGTATTATCTTACAGAAGAGGCAAATAAACCACTCAAATACATAAAGCATTGTTCATATATAGCATTTTTATAATGATGCAGAATTGCAAGATGTCCAATTAGGTTTTATGGCACTAAGATTCTGATTTATATTATCTGTAGGAAAGAAAAAAAAATCGAAATGGGGCAATGAAAATGGGACAATACCCTATCAAATAAATCTTAGCAATACACATTCATAGTGTCATATGCTGAAACAGATATAAATACATGAAAGACGGTATCACTGCTGAAGTAATGGCTCATTGAGATGCATGTCTGCTGAGAAAAGAACCTCTCTATCATGTTTTGCTCACAGGGTCAAGCTAACTATAGAATAATGCTAACACTTAGCAATACAACCTAGATATTTTTTTAAAAATGAAGAACAAACTAATCAGAAAGGTTTCCAGATTCACTGTGTTACTGATATTCTTACACAGATCTTCAGATGCATCTTACTGTTTTGAAAGGGCAAATGCATTGAGATTGACAGTTTAGCAGAATGGTCTAATATATTCTATGGGGCTTGAATGTTATACGTTCTACATCTCATAGTACTTTAAGAGTCATGCTAAATATTCATGTTTGCTCTTCTGTTTGCTTATTCGTAACCACCTTAGAATAGAAGCACTTCTTTTGGGGGATGATTAGGGGCACAATAAAATATGCAGTACACCGCTTCACCTGTTTTTTGAAACTCTTACGATCAAGATATCGGTCATACAGCTATTTTTGTATTATTCTAGGGTGACAAAATTCTGCATGTGCCAGGGTCTGAGAGATTACAAAGACCATTTAGAAGGGACCTGGTTCTTTCTGTCTTGTGGAATATATATGTTCATAAGCTACATCTCTTACATTTGCAGCTGGAGTGTGGGCATCTTTCTTCATACTTAAGCTTATCATCCTTCTGAACCTATTCAGCTGTTACTTATTTCTTACATGGCACATGCCACCCTCTGCATTGTGTAATAATGATTGTCCATATTTTTACAGAAAATACAGTTATCAGGAGGGCACATGACCTCTCAGTCTCTCTCTTCTCAGCATTTCTCTCTGTTTTTATTTCTCTTCCACCCTGAATGATAATACATTTTTTTCTCCATTTTATCATTTGTCTCTAGCAGTCTCACATCACACTCTTTTGCCGGCTCTTATTTTAGATGTGTCCTTAATATAATATTCTAGAATCCACTTGAATATAAATTCCATTAAAGAGAATAATTTGACAGTAGTTTTCACTGCTGTATCACTGTTAGATAGGGAAATAATTCGATGTAGTAATAGATGCTCCATAAATAATTGTTGAATAATAAATAATGATCAAGGTAGATCCTAGACTTTTTCGTCTGTGGAGCTCTCCCTGCCTATCCAATCAAGTAACTTGAAATACAATCTGTATTTAACATAGTAACTATTTTCCACTTTTGGAGTTATTTTCTTACATATCATAACTATTGCAATATATTTTACAAACACTGTAGAGTAACTTAGATTTCATACTATAGATATCCTTCCCACAGCCTGAATATTCCCAAATTGTTTGTTCTTATTTAATTTTGGGGATATGGACTCCCCCCCCCAAAACAAATTTTTTTTAAAGATTTTATTTATTTATTTGACAGAGAGAGACACAGCAAGAGAGGGAATACAAGCAGAGGGAATGGGAGAGGGAGAAGCAGACTTCCCACGGAGCAGGAAGCCCGATGTGGGGCTCGATCCCAGGACCCTGGGATCATGACCTGAGCTGAAGGCAGACGCTTAACGACTGAGCCAGCCAGGCACCCCAGACTCCCAAAATTTTGTACCCCAAATTTGCTACAAAGTTTTGTTCCTTTCCCTCTTTTTTAGCAAAAATTCAGACTTCACTTCAGACTCTGAGGTCCTAAGCATCTCTTCAGTAATTTGTCTTTACTTATCCTTTGGGTTTCAGTATCACATATTGACTTGGATAGGAATCTCAAATTATGTTGCATGGAACATTATCTATGGACAATCCAGCCTCTCATTTTCTTTGCTGCACTGACCTGTCCAACCCCAGATTAAAAAAAAATTAAAAAACAAAACTAATTGATGAATTATTCCCAGTCAACTTGCCTCACTTTACTGATTTATA